ATTGAATTAATATAATGCAAGCATTTCTAGTTAGAGGGGGATTTTTCATTTTCTATTTATAAATATTATATATTTTTTATACATTAAGTCTTATTTTGTGGATGAGGGATGTTTTTTTTTAATTTTATACATTTTTGTCAAAAAAGGACATTTGGTATTTTTCAACAATTTCAATTTTCTTTGTTTATCTAAAGCTCTGTTAATAATATCGGTATGTTTTCATCTAAAAACTGCTAAAAATTTTGTTTATTTATATATATTTCTATTTTCTACAACATTTACAAAAAAATCCAAAAAATTCACATTTATGAATTAGGGTTACGGGCACAACAACATTTACGTGTATTCCTTTTTTGGGGGGTTTCTCTTTTTGATTTCTCTTTGGTTTGGGGAATATTTTAACAATTTATTTTTGTATTTGGTTTACTATTTTTACAAAAAACAGGTGTTTGTTTCACTTTTGTTTGGGCTCACTTTTTAACATGGAACAAGGCAAGGTGGCCAATAAAAGTGATTTAATCCAGTGCAAGAATAATCTTTACTTTGTTTTCAATTCATCTAATTTTTATGGTTTAACGTTTATTCGTAATAAGTTCATTAATAATAATAATGTAATCGATTATGTTTGAGGGTTTAGAACTGCTATGTGGTAAGGAGGGGGAAATGGTTATGGGAAATTAAAGGTGTGGAATTTATTTGCTCATTTGTTGTATTTTTTTTTTAATTTTAAAAATAATTGTTGTCAAAATATTTCATTAATTTGATTTGTTCTTCTTTTTTAGAATTATATGTGCGTTTTTGGTTATTCATTCCCAATTTAATATTCATCATCATCGTTAAATTAAAGAAAAAAATGATTTTTTTTTTAATTTGACATCAAATAAATAAAAAAAAAATTTAAATAAATTATAGAGAATTAAATTAAAAAATTGTTTTTGAATTTACAATGAAATTAAAGCGGCAAGTAGATCAGATTATTTTTCAATTTTGACTTCCTTTATGACGACATATAAAATTACATTTACATATACGATTATAAATCGACTCGATTAACTAAATCCACAAATACACCCTAATTGTTTACACATACCTTTAATCATGATCTAAATGCCGATCAGCTGATGTTAGTATACATACAATATTATTAATTTGCGCCAAAAATATTTGTTTGCAATTGGAAAATGAAAAGAAGATTAAAACAGTTTTGCAATGCTTTGATCGTTTGGAAAGTAAAAAAACCTAAAAATACAAAAATTCTGTAAATAATTTGTATTCTCCTCTGATCATCCATTTTTGTATTTGGCAACCGGTTAATTTAAAAACATCAACGTGAAAACAGTTGCAAATTTTGGAACAATGTGAGAGAGTTGTATTTCTTCGTACAAAAACCGCGTTGCATCTCAGTGGTATCATGATTTCGATCATTATTTAAAATAAACCCTGCCGCACAATGATTTAAACTTGAATGATAAATCATGGTAAATTGAGGCTGAATGAATGAAGGAATTGACAATTTAAACCCACTGGATTTACTTAATGTTTAAATAATGATTGAAAGAATCTGTAATGTTCATATTTTAATATTTTTCTTGAAATCGTTCATAGGTTATATACCAAGAAGTTCATCGCGGATAGATCCACGATATTAACGTTTGGGTCTTACGATATCACAGTAAAAGCGTAACATCTGCTAATATCGTAAATGATTTAGAACACAACGACTCGCCGAATATAAAACTATATGCTAACTTTGTATTTTAAAGCATACTTTTAGGATGAATGAAAAACAAATTTACGTTAAATGAATCAACAATAGTGTTTAGTTTATTATGGTTGAAAAATAAATGAATCGTAATTTATACAATAATCTACTGATTTTACCATTCTTTTTTTATGAGAATTTTCTTTTAAAATTGTCCAATTTAAGAGAATAACTTGTTATTCTCTGAAGTTAACAGGAATACCAACTTCCGCATGGGTATTGTGTGTATAGAAAAAATTTAAAAGGACCTTCTCTGTTTACAAAGTTTTTTCGGGAAAATGCCCTGCTTGGCCTAGTAGATTATTAAAATTTAATTTTGATAGTTTTGGTATTTTTACTTCTTTTTACATTCCCATAAATATTGTAAAAAGGTGGGCAAATTTTCTCTTAAAAAATTAAAATAGAAACAAGACATATTCTGCGGGATTTAATTAATTTAAACATTTTAAAATCCGAAGAAAGAAAAAAAACAATGATTAAAAAAATAGTGCAATATTTTTTCGTTTTAACAACAACAAAAATGTTAAGAGAATACAAACGATTTGGAAAATGCACTATTTCAGTAATAATTAGATATACGGGTATATATCATATATCGACATGAGAATGATATGCAACAATTATGCAAATATAACAAGAACGACAGTGCGCATGAAGAAAATTATAGAAATGGAAAATTGAGCTAATCTTGTCCAAAATTATTTTATACTTTCAGAAAATATCCAAAAACTGTTAGATGATTTTCACAACTATGAAGTTCACAGTAAAAATTCTTTCATTTTTTTCGAAATCGCTGTGATTTTGAGCGTGTTCACGTCATCTGACCATTTTGTCAAATTCATTTCAAAAGGAACAATCAAAAAGATGGGATATTTTGTGGCAACTTTTGTTTTTTGTCGAACAAAAAACTATGAAGAAACATACGAAAATGGTAAGATAATGATTTTGGAATATTTGGTCCAAGCTAATGAACTTATTCGAAAACGTTTAATGCGTTTTTATCGCAAGCAAGAATAGAACATCTTTACACTTCAAAAATAATATTTAACGAAAACTTGTTTAATTTTTTAGGAAGACTTTGGTAAATTTTCTGATCGAATGTCAGACAGCCTCGGAAAAAATTCTGATATTATGCAGTATATTATATACGAAATCCAATATACACAATATACGTTAAAATTTTACTCAAACTATTACATTTCAATATTTTTGTAAATTGATTTAAAAAATTTAAAATATAAGGAAGATTTTGCCGTCACTTGATGCTGACACAATAAATCGGCTATATCTTTAATAGTTCTTTAGATTTTCACTTGAAATTTTGTAGGGACATTCTAGAATTAGAGTAGATTCGAATTAAATAAAAAAATTTTGGCACCGAGAATGGGGGGTCCCCTTAAACCAAAAAAAGACAACAAAAATGTGAAATAAAACCAAATTATAGTTTAAATTTAAGCATTGCTTGTTTCATTTTATTTTTTTATGTTAAAAATTTCAAACTTAAAATCTACGAAAATAAATTGTCTTAAAAATAAAACGAAAAAATTTAATAAAAATTAAATTATAAAAATCACTTGTTTTCCATTCATTGATTTTTGATTATTAAAGGTATTTCAATTGTCGGTTGGTTTGCCTTCGAAACAAACATAACTAAGGCAAAAAAGGAAAAGAAAAGAGACAAAATTGAATTGCACAAAATCCAAACAAAACTCAATGTCCAGTACAGAGTAAAAGACTAGTAGTGGTGGTGGTGCCTAACACAGAAAACAAAATTAAAAAATAAATTTAATTTGTTTATGAGAGGACTCACGATGCACATGACTCAGAACAAAAATGAACTGGGGATTAGGTAAGTCGTTTAAAATAATAAAAAAATGTGTTTGTTTATAATTCACGACGACAATATTGAATATATATGTGTGTTTTTGTTTGTTTTATTATAATTTATTTATTTATGTTTTTTGTTTGTGGTTTTATATATGTAGATATTGTATTGTGCCTAGGCATTTAGGCGTTCAAAAATGTTTTAAATTAACATATGTTTTTTTATTTTTACTTAAACATCGTTTTTTTTCTCTTCTTTCTGAGGTCTAAATATAAACTTAATTAAGGTAAACTTAAATATTAAGGGGTAAGGGAGGACACAAAAATAAAAGCATAAAGAAAATCATAATAAAATCATAAATGTGAGGGGAAAAGGTAATGAATAACACATTTAATTTATTGCGTAGATGTATGCAAATTTAAATAATAATAGTAATTGCGATGGATGGTTAATTAATTTATAACGATGATATATTAATGGGAACGACGACGATGATGATGATGATGACGATGACAACGATGGCAATAATTTAAATGATATTAATAATTTTCTTGATTTGTTTCGAATTAAATCATTAAGAGAAATGGGAGAGGAGGAAATAGCAAATAAATTATGGTCGTTTCTTTCTTTGTAATTTCAACTGAATTCTGATGTTAGTATTTCTTTCAATCGTAATGTATCTGGTTTTTCTTTTTGAATACAAAACGCATTTAAAGCGTATTAGTTTGTTGGATTTATATTTTTATAATCTAATTTGCATTTAATTTAAATATTATTTTCTTCCACTCCTCCTCATCTCTTCTCATATGCACATTCTATATGCTTGCTTATTTTCTTTTATAGAAGAATATATATAAAAATATGTATTTGTTTTTATTATATATAAATTAATATTATCATTTGTTTTTGTTTTCCTTGTTTGTTTAGGTTTTAGTTTTTTGTTTAGATTTGTTTCAATTCAATAATTTATTTTTAAAGGGGCGAAGGGCATATTTTCATCTTCTCCTCTTGTTTTGGGGGGTTTCTTCACCTTTTTTGTCCTGTCTGCTTTGTATGTATGTATATGAAAGTGTTGACAGTGTATATTCATGTTGTCGCTGCTGCTGTTGTTTGGTTGCAGTAGTTGTTGTTTTATTTTATCATAGTTTTTTTGTTAAAGGATACTTAATGATGTAGTATTGTAGTTGTTGCTGTTGTTGGGTTTCATTCAACTTGGTGGTTGGTGGTTCTTTAATAGATGATGACCATGTGTACCCAGCAGCATTATCATCATCCTTTGCGTTTTGTTTTGTAGTTTTCTTGTTTCACATATACAAAGACACACACACATAAAAAGACAATGAAATTTCTTCTTGAAGGGGTTCTTTGAAGATAACGTTGTTAATAATAGTTATTGTTATTAGTTTATATTAGTTGCTTAAACAAATGCCCAGCATTCGAGTGTTTTTATAACAAAATCTTCTTGAGGCGCCAATGGTTCATTGCCATATGTACTGCAGGATTGTGAACGACCTTGATTTAAATCACCATCAAGCCACAGACCAAAACGACCACTACAAAAAACCGAAAACAATAAAAAACAATTAGAATTCAATTTAAAAAGGCATTAAAGCAATTAATGCGCTTTTAATGCAAAAAATACAAAACAAATACTTACTCTCCAGCACCAATTGACAAACTTTCAACGTTGCCTTTGATGAAATATAAATTCTCACCCGTCCAATGGAATACTTTAAAGCTGGGATTGAATTTATACAGAAGTGATTCGCCGGTACCATAAAAATGATCTGATACGTGCAGGGAACATGACGTTAAAGCTCCAAAAACCTGTAAATATAAACAAAGAACAAAATTAAACGACATGTACATTAGAACTTTTTACAGGGGTTAACCATCCTTATGAGGATTTGTTTGACAAATATGTAAGGAAATTGACAACATAAACCCACTGGGTTAACTTAATCCGGTACAATGTAAATGTACTATTAGTATATAAATTGCAATAAAAATATTATTTCAAATGCTGTTGCCATAGTGTACTACCAAGCTATATTTTTTATGGGTATACTATTTCAGAGGAAAATCATAGATATCGCCCTCACAAACCTATTCGGAAATGATCTACAATATTTGCCCGTTAAGATGTGTCACATTCACGGGTCTATATAACACGAGTTAGCGTAACGTGCGACAAGTAAATTTATTATTTTTTCTAAAAATAAATATTGGCCATAAATTACTGAGGTGGCACAAGATCACAGATATAATCACTTAATTACCTTTACATTATCTGGAAATTGTTGTAACCGGTAAAATGATAACAAATCATCAACATCATATACATTTTATGGCAACAAAATAAACATGAAAAAAATACAATGTTCCGTGAAAACCTACAGAGTTTTGTTATGTGATGGTGTAGAGTGTAAATTTTCTTTATTGATATATTCCGAGGGGAATCAAATCTGCTGAATGGTGTTATAACAATTCTAGGAACATAATAATATATTGTTTTGGAATCTTAGATCTGTCAATTGGCCTCAAATCTAATCGGTGATGTTATCTGGACATATTATTTATTGAATATTGTTGGAGAAGATATGTGGACCCTTAAAAATCCATTTCTTTTAAAAAGGGATACAAAGTCGTTAAAATCATAAAAAACGGAACTGCTCAAAACATTGTCTGTAAAAATTGAAAAAATATAAACGTCCCAATACCTTTTAAGTTTTAATAAGAAAAGACTATACGAAGGGCAATACATCATTGTTTCAATATTTAAAACGTAACTGGTTTCTTATTGTATAGTCAACCCATCCGTTACGCGGAAGGAAAACGTAGAGGCAAGAAGAAATATAACGACATAGGAGGATAGGCTGTTTTCAGAAATTGTAAAAGTCCATAGAAATAGTTCATGGTTATGAACAGCCCAGTAACATGTTACAAATGGGCAAATATATACAGTCCAAGTTGTTTCGAGGCCCTGAGTTCTTTCAGTAAAGAATATTATAAGCAATGTGCTCGATTCAATGTGACGAAACTTTAGATTTGTGGTTAGACCGGAGACGATAGGAAAATAATGAGGTTTGAAAAACTGACGGTAGGGTCATTACCTTTTTCAATAAGAAAAAAATTAATTAAAAAAAGTTTAGAGTACTCAAAATTACAATATCGTTTTCCTTTTAGCCTATTTACAAGTTTTTTTCTTATTAATCTAAACATTCTTTTTTTATTTTATATACTTACATTGTGTTCTGTGTCTTCTATAACTATAAGTATGGGGCTTTCGAGTCTCTGCATTTTACGATATAATGAATTTAATGAGAATCCATGTTGAGATGTGCTAAAGGCCAATGACCAGGAGTAACCTTCAGCGCGTGCAGGTAAATGTCCACAAAGTTTTTCACTAATGAATAAAACGAAAAAAATAATTAATTAATATAAATGAATATTGAAAAAAAGAAAATTCAATTAAAAACTTACCGATGCTCTTCTGTTAGAATCTCTGTTGTTCCAATTAGATCTGGTATGGGGAAATCTAAATCAAATGATCCTGTTTGGAATATTGATGATTTGCGATAATCATCATTGCTCATAGACAGCACCTGTTAGATGGGACGGGATGAAATGAAAAGAAAATCACGAATTAGTATTACAGCAATAGCAAAGAAAAACAAGCCCAATTAATTAACACAATTAAAAAATAAAGGAAATGAAAGACCATTTAATAAATTACACAAATAAATAAAAAATAATAACAATATCAATGTGTATTATTATTAAATACAAGTGGTTGGTGGATTGAATATCAAAACATAATAAATATAATACATTAGCCTAAATAGAAAAATAATAACCTATGGAGGTATACAGGTGTCACAATTAAAATTTCATTTCTAAAACGTAAAAAAGAATTTAAATTCGAAAGGGTGCTGTATAGAGAAAACAATTTGAGAACAAATCTAGGTTGGGTGGGAACTTTTTGGGGGTGTTGTAAAAAGGCTTTTGATAACTTTTTTGTGGGTTTGGTGTAGTTTCTTTTGGCTGGCACACATAATAGCACATACAGATCAGGCAATCTTAAATTTCATTAATTGAAATCAAAAAAAAATATTAAATCTAAATATTGAAAACAAGCTTTGTTGTAGAGTGAGTACATGGATAATTTGTTTTTTTTTTAAATCTGTGTGTTTTGTGTGTGTTAACCAAAAACAGCTACAACTTAAAAGTATAGTAAATATCATATAAAATCAATTCATTTTATTAAAATTTTCATAGAATTTAATTAATATTTACAAAGAATGCTTCTGATGATTAAATGATAACTGAAAATGACGTTTTGAATGACAATGATGCATGAGGTGGGGTTTTTGGTTTTATTTATTTGTTTTTTTTTTTTTAATAACAAATAAGTTGTATTAAGACCCTTGCATTAACTTGTTGACTTTTTGTGTGTGGTGTGTGCGATTGAGGAAGCCCCCAATAGAACTGACCAACGTGACCACGTGTTTTTTAGACAAATGATTATTGCTGTTCTGTGGTCATGGGAATAGTTAATACCGTTATGTAGGTACAATATAATTAACTAAAGTTGTTTTTTTAGAAATAGTTTTTTTCTTTTGTTTTGAATTCTATATAATTTCCTTGGTTGTGTTTGTTTTTTATTTTACTTCTTTGCATTGTAGATGCTTCGGCTTTTACGTTTTTTGTTATTTCCTTTTTATGTAATGGCTAATTAATAATTACTTTATACTTTTTTATTTGCTAATAAATTAAGTCAATATTTGCATTTTTATTTATAAACACAGATGCTAACAAAAATCATATTGAGATACGCATTTGATGCCTGCCATCAGTCCGGGGGTTATTAGCCGCCCCTTAGTTAAAAATATCAGCAAGGCAGGTGATTTGTGAATGCAATTTGTTGTTATTTTCTTGGTCAATGAGTAATTGGGTATTGGGGTTATTGTATCAGTAGACTAGGATTATAATTGGTATACCCTACACTATAAGTTGGATGATATTAATTTTGACATTGCCTTAGTAAATGATATTCTTCCTATAAAAGACACCGTACTTCCAAACAAAAACATGGTCAGGCGGAAATAGTTTCATCTCAAATGTTGTAATGATTTATGTATCTAAAAAAATTAATAACATTTTATATATTTTTTTACTGTCTTTGGAGTCTAGCATATTATTTAGGGATCAGTATTGTCGCTTTGGGTATTTGAGACCAAAGTTGTTCAGGAATATGAACCTATATTGAAAATGTTCTGATATTTGGGATTTTTCCTCCAAGAAGCTTAAGGTGCATTTACCCAGTATGTTATTTACAAAGTGCAGAACATAACTTTATTTGCATAAGAACCTCGAACTCGTCGTGTGAAACATACGGAAATTTCAATGTGTCAAAACGATATGTAATTACATACATATGTATTTTTTCTTTATTTTGAAATAAATGTGTTTCTTTAAAACAGCTGATTGGAAGAACAATTTTGATTTGAAAACCAAGAAAATGATGAGAGGCAAAAGTTATACAATTGTAAATTGATTTATAGTTGTTTGATAAAAAAATTATGTTGATTTATGAAAAAATTAAGGTGTTGTTTCGTTTAGAGATTATGTCATGGGAAATACATATGGATGATAAAAGTGACAACACGTGTGCTCTCAAATGGGGACTAGTAAAATAAACCATATTGCAGAAATTAATCTTAGAAAAAAGCGGCTAGGCGCATGTAGAAAAAAATCGTTAAAATTTACTAAAATATACTAGCGTGGAATAGTGTGTACTACAGAACTGAATTTTTATATAAGGTTCACTATTGTTATATAGAAAACAATTTCGATTAGTTCAAGATTCCTGAAAATTCTGGAACGGAGCTTTTGTTGCATGGAAAGTTTGGTTGAAATTCTGCTAGTTTGATACTGTGTCATTTATGTCCATTATTTATAAGGCATCCATTGGACAATCAGCAATTGATAAAAAAACGGACCGTTCAAACTGATGGTGTGTACTCCTTTTAAGAACTGTATCTTTTGCTTTCCACTGATGTAATCGAAATGCTAATATTTTTTTATCATATTTTATCTGATTATAAAATTACGCAAGATTCCAAAAGAATGTACTTTTAAACGGCATTCACATTAGAACTTTTTACTGGGTTAACCTACTTTATGAGGATTTATTTGACATATATGTAAAAGAATTGACATTTTAAATCTACTGGATTAACGAAATGCAGTACAATGTAAACGTAGTATAAGTGTCTTTATTATTATAATTTGTTCACATTTCCACTGTAGTTTCGTTGTTAATCGATTTGATAATTTTTTCTAAATCCAAGTTTTTTATTTCATTCACTTTTTAAATATTTTACATTTTATTCAAAAGATATTTTATCAATTATTGTCTACTATCCAACCACTTGTCATTATTATTTGTTGTTAATTCAATTTTTTTTTTCTCGAAACTTACACTCTTTCGGTGTAAATAATGTTCACGGTAACGCGCCAGGCGTTCCAGACGTCTTTCAAAAAATGTATTCTTAACCATTTTGTTAACTGAACTTGGTTTGAATGAAACGTTCAGATGATAATTTCAAATATTTATAGCGAAAAAAGGCAGTTAAACACACATACTAATGTAAAAAAAAAAAACAAAATAAATAAATTGAAGAGATTACGATTTAGTTAGCATGTACCCGGCACCCTAGAAATTAACTAGAGGCGTAGTAGCAACAGCTATAAAAAATATCCGAAAAAACCTTGTTGTGAATTGTCTCTGATATCTCACGAGAGATAAGTTGAAAGGGGACACTGACCAGTTGTCAAATAAACAACAAGGTGACACGACGACAATTATAATGATGATGTCGAGTGCAAAATATTAATTAATGTCTTCAAACAATCAATAGATTGCTGGTCGAATTGTCTTGGCCCACATTATTAGGCAAAATTAAAAAAAGTGGGGAAATAAGCAACATTTGTTCAAAGTTTCAATAATTTCTTTTGACATTATCAACTATGATAACGAAAAAACTCGTTATGAATTAAGATTTATTTATTATCTACAGTAGTGATTTTATTTTTCTATTTATATTTTATCGCAAATAAACAAAAATGAAAACAAATAAAACAAAAAACGTGTGTCGCAGTAATGACTAATAATTCCCAATTGATTTCCCACTTTTCTTTTTTTTCATTTGTTACCAAGAGAAGTTATAAATTTATTTTAAAAATGGCTAGTAGCCATTTCTTTAGTGGTATGATTTTTAAAAAAATCGTAAATGTTCAAAATCACTTTTGCTTCTTTTTTATATTTTAGCACTAGAGAACAACCTTGAGTGAGGGCTATTTGGCTTTGACGTAAATAACAATAACAAATTACGGATTAATATATATGTCTAATTCTTTAAATAGCAATGATGAAATTATTATATTTAACATTTAAAAATATACTAAACTAGATTTTGATCTTTAATCGGTGAAGACAAAAAAATTGAGTTCATAAAATTATTTTATTAAGATAATCAAGAGTTATCCACAAATATAGATAGGTGCGATATTAATCAAATCATTTATATATTGCATTGTAAATTGGTTGTGTGGTCAATTAACCTAAAATGTTGACTAATATGTTTACACTATGTTTATTTCATCATGATTTGTTTAATTACTAACACTTAATGGTGACTTGTCACTCGGTGATTTGTTTCGCATTATTTTCAAAATATATAAAACACAGAATTCATACTTAAAAAAAAACAAATGTGTTTACAAATAATTTTATTTCAAAAAATTCTAAAACTACATTTACATTGGAACTTTTTACCGCCGTTATTGATTTATATGCAATGGTATTGGCAATTTACATATATATTCGAATTATTAAACCCATTACAATGTAAATGTACACTACCATAGCAAGGAAAAAATAATATTTGCATGCACCTTTATGTTAACAATTTATTCTTATTTTAATTTCACACAAATTAATACAATAATTAATTAATGTATTCAATTCTGTATGTATACATACATATGTAAACAAACATCAGCTGACTGTCATTAAAAAAACTATGTTGTTGAAATTAGGAGTCAAACACGCAATGTTTCACATGAAAGAAAATTTAGACCCAAATGGGAAGAAAGAGAGTGCTTTGTTTTTTGCCACTTTTTTTAATACTTCAGTTTTTTTCCGCAATTAAACATTGTAATTATGATATGTTTCAATTATTTTTTAAATCGAGAAAATTCGTGTAACTAAATTTCAAGTTTTCCTACGAAAATTGTATTTTATAAATTAGCAAATAATTGCTGAATTGTTTTTAATACGCAAAATATGTAAAAAAAAATTGTGTACGTGCTTCATACGGAAGTTGCCCTCTAGGTCGGCAGGGGTTTGTAAGAGAGGCTTTAGAAAGAACGTGTGGACAATGTACAACATGCAGAATAATATTCTATTTCGTTTGGTCCCTAAGTTCATCGAAAAGATGTTGACAATTTCCTTCTTAAGCTGAGTTCGGACGATACTTCATATACACAACACGTGAACCGTATAAATATTTTAAAGCTGTTAGCTGTTTGTTTGACAAAG